AGTGAGTAGAAGAGCAGGGATGTTCCTAATGCAGAGTTAGCAAGCCTTGAGTCTTGGTGTATTGACACCTGACGTTGTCCACAGTCAGGGAGGTCACCCTGTAAGCAGGTGCTCTGCCCCCTGAGTGTGCCTCTGAAGGGTGCCTTTCCCCTTGAGAGTCCCCGTCCTCAGTGTCTACACCTCCCCCTTCTCTTTTCCATCTGGCATAGACCGATCATGAGTGTCTCCACTTCCTTCTCCATGGAGGAACATCATTAGGGTTAGTCTGCCAGTGTCAACATTCCTTGCAGAGTTTCTTGTGTCCCTTACAGGGACAGGCCCAAGATGGGAGGACTGGGGAGAATGGCTGAGGGGTCCTTTTCCAGGCCATCTGCATGGGTGCCCAGGGCTGCCCGAGGCCCCAGGGAATGAGCATCTGTTCCAGGAACGCTGTGCAGGATCCTCAGTGCTGGGTGGGTGTCTCAGAGTCAAGTATTTAGTGCCAGGTAATTATATCGTTCTCCAATTACCCAGTTATGGTGTAATTTACAGCCTGATGGTTAGGGTCTGTGGTGCTGTAATTGATAAACTCACTCAACGAACGCAAGCAACAGCAAGCTGGCAGGTGCCAGGAACCACAGGTGGGACAGAGTGGGGACCGGATACATAGTCTCCTTCAATTTTTGTTTCTCCATTCAAGTTTTGTTTCTCCTCTGGAAATTTCACTCCTGTTCTTCTGAGGGTTTTACAGGAAAAAAAGGAATATCCAGAGAGACTCTTGGTGCTCAGGAAAAGGCTGGCATAATCTGTGCTTGTCCCAAAGGTCTAGACGGCTGGTGCAAGAGTAGAAAAAGTTGTCCAAGATAGTGGGATGAAGCAGAAGTCCTTCATTTCCTTGATTTGTTTCTTTTTCTGTTCATGGCTCCTAGACCCTACCTCATCACACTGAGTAACGACAGCCCTCGTTTGTTAAGTCATTCATATGTTCCAGGCATTTTGCAAAATGCTTCTGGGGCATCATCTCATTTAAGGTGCTACTGTTATCTCCCTTTGCAAGATGAGAAAATAAGGCTCAGAGAGTTAAGGTTAGGTATGTTATGGACCCAGTCTGCTGTGACAGCTTGCCCTTTCTTTTCTCTTAGCCACAATGATGAACTGAGCAACCTTAACAGAGACTTAGAACCCTTGGTAGGAGGGTTGGCCTAGAACCTCAGAGCTATATAGAAACAGAATTGTGTTTGAAGGGGCATCAAGAAGCCTAACCCTATTATTTTGCAGATGGGGAAAGTCATGGAGTGTGAAAATTCCTTGTCAGTAGTATCACATGAACTTAATGAAAGAGTCAGGGTATAGGCTTCCTGGTCTAGTGTTCACTGTTATATTCATGGCCTTGAGAAGCCCAAGCTTATCTCTTTTTGTGCTTCCAAGTTACCTAGGCATTTCACAGGTGCTCGTTCAACTCTTCTTAAGCATTCAGAGTCAAGTTCCAGTGTGCTGTCTTCTAGGAGACACTTTCTTCTGTTCCTCTCACTACCTCTTTTCCAAACAAACATGACTATTCAGCAAGTCCTTCTTCATTTAACATTCCAAAAGTTTCCTCACATTTATAACTATGGAACAGTCAGTCTTACCTATGATTTTGTTTGACTGTCATGGTGTATAAGGTAGGCCTGAATTTAAATTCTGTTGCATTATTGCCTTGCCTGTCTGAATGACTTGGGCATGACCACTTGCCCTCCAGGGCCACCTACTGCTGACTTTGGAAGGTCCCAAAGTGCCATATGTGTCCATGGACCAGTGCCGGTTTGGATACAAGACTTCCCATTGGTGCATGGTGATGAGGGAAAATAGGGATAATGTGGACAGTCTCCTAATTTATTTTTAAATATTGACAATGGGTAAAACCAAGCCTGGGCGCCCATGTTCTGGAATTTCTTATTCAGTGTAGGGTTCTCCTTCCAGAGTTGGGAGCTCTCTTCCTTCAGAAGTAACCTAGCTTATCTGCGGATGTTCTTGTTGCTAGAGACGTCTTTCGGATATCAAACAGAAGACTGGCTTCCTTTGGCTTCTACCCTTAGTCCTAGTCCTTTACTCTAGAGAAATCCTGTCCCGCTATCAAGTGGTTTCTTCAAATATTTGGAGGACCACCAAGAGCTTTAGTCAACAGAACTGGGACAAGAGGTCGACAAACTTCCCCCATACCCTCCACCTCCTAACAATGAAAATAACAATAATGATAAGCAACATTCAGTATGTGCTTATTTTGTTCGAGACACTGTTCTAAGCACTTTACAGTGTATGAAATCATTCAGTCCTTGTACACCATGTATGGTGCCTCCGCCCTCAGAGGCAGAACTCTCATGTGTCCTGTTTTACCAATGAACAACTGAGGCATGGAGAAGTTATACTGCACAGAAGTAGTGGACTAACATCGAAACCTATAATCTGACCCCGGAGACTGTCCTTTCAGCCTCCTGCCACCAAATGCCTATCTCTACTTGCCACCTTATATTAACAATATTAAACTATGCTGCTAGCCTGCTAATACGGCTGATCTAACCTGAGGGAGGGAGCCATTCCTTGGGTTGGCCACCAGCTGTTAAAGCAAGTTAATGGGCTTGGAGATAACACTGTATCAGGCTCATCCTGAGCTTGGCTTTGCCTTAAATAACCCCATTCTGCATTTCTGAGATTGATTCTTGAGTATAAGTGGAGGGTATGGTGTATATATTCTTGTCAATTCTTTTTCTAAAATTCTATAAAAAATGGATTCTTGGGCCCTTCCTGGTGGCGCAGTGGGTTAAAGCGCAGCACTAAGAAGCTAAAGCCACTTCAGCATGAGTT